AATGTGTATGAAAACACATTTTGTGCTCTCAGCTTATAAAGTGCTGGACGAATAAATGATTATTATATTCATATTATTACCCTTCATTACACCACTGTGTGTCTGATTCAGCAAATGAATCACAGATACATTAAAATAAAACTAATATTTAATCTATTTTAATTATTTGAAATATGTCGTAAAATCCTGGTGGTGAGACTAATAAAACAAAAAAACATGTGTAAATAAATCTAATGAAGTCCTATACTAATACAACTATTAGTATATTATATTATAACCCTGAATTCCACCACTGTGTATATATGATCCCAATTTGGGAATTGTTAGCGTTGCAGCAGCATCAAAAACAAGGCAATGTACATAAGAGAAATTAAGACACTAGAAATAAACAGTCCAAAATATTTCTGAAATATAAATAAAATAGCATTAAAAAGTTTTAAAATATACATGTGGAAAATATCAAGTGGAAATACACATTTCAGAAACAAATATAACGCAGGATATTATTGTGCAAGAATGGATTATTCAATATTAAAATGAATACAAATGTAAATGCACAGTGGGAGATATAGCAAACGTATTATAGACAAATATAATGCAATTATTTTAATGATTTGAAATGTGTAGTTAAATGTGGTAAAAAAAAAAGAGGAAAAAAAAATGAAATGTGTGAGGAAAAAACTGCTCTCCCCTGTGACCTCCGACCCCGCCGCGTCCATCCCGGTACATCCCGCTAACCCCGCCCCTCTGCAGAGAGAACGGGAGCTCCATTCAAACAAACCGAATCTCCGGGATGCGACAGTAAAGAGAGAGACAAGAACACAGGAGACACACACTTACACACACACACCGTGTACCGGAGAGCAGAGCACCGACACATACACACACACACACACACACACACACACACAGCCGCAGACACACAACACACACACTCTGAGCAGCAGGAGGCTAACGGCTAACAGCTAACATGGCGAGCGCCTCGTACCACATCTCCAACCTGCTGGAGAAAATGACTTCCAGCGACAAGGACTTCAGGTAAATAAACACCCCGGGGGAGAGGACTGTATTCCCGGCTCACCTGAGCAGATCACCCGGTGTTTCCTCCATAAACACAAGAGAGATAACAGTCTATCAGGCCTACAGGCTCCATGCTAACAGCTAGCTTCTGCCACCTGTCTGATCTAGCGTCACAGCGCGAGCTCAGCAGTTAGCTAATATTAACGATTATTTAAATAAACGTTAGTGTTCGATCTGACAGCAGTTCAGGTGAAAAGCGTTAATAACCGTTCAGGGAGCTAACATGCTAACGGGATGCTAACCTGACAGCTGAGCAGTAAATACAGGAGCTAACAGCTAACCGGCTAGCTGGCTACTAACTTTTCTTGTATTTATTTTTAACTAGCTCAATGCGTATTAATAGTACATGTTAATCATGATCAGTGGTTCATTTATTTTTATTAATTTTGTTTTTATGTTTTCAATTTTTGTATGAACCTTTACAAAAATAATGAATTTGTATTTCCTTATTATTTTAAGGCCAGCTTCTTTTTTTTGTGTCATTACGTTTTTTAATTTAATTTATTTATATTTATGATGTTTCTATAAATTATACATGTTAAGGCTGTCTTACGAATATTTAGAAAATAACTATAATTATTTATATTTTCTTATTATTTTGAAGGCCAGCTCCCTTGCTTTTTTCTGATTGTAAGTTACGTTTGTATTACTTTAGCTTTTCTTGCTAGCTCACTATCATGATCAATGTATGTGTTATTGTTTCTTCTTTTTTAACTTAACTAACTCATAACAAAATGTATAATTCTTATTTTTTGAACATTTTAGGCTAGCTCAAGTTAGCATGATCTTTCTGTGTAATGTTGCTGTGAAGTTAGCATCTGAGCTAACAAGTGTAGTGTGTGGCAGAAGTAGTTGTTGTGCTAACTAGCATGTGGTAGGTGTTGTAACTCGGGTAATAACAGCAGGTAAACAGACTGGATTAGCAGGGGGGGGGGGTTCAGATACTTCAGTATAAATACTTTAACACTGCAGGGCTATCCCTGGGTGCACATATTTTCCCTTTGCTTCAACTCTGACAGAACTGATCTGATATCAGTGTCTGTCTTTTTACCGGATATTCAATCTGCATACTTGGCTTCTTGGGATTATCGGCATTTATATGTTTGCTGAGTTTCTGACTGGAATATATTGAACATATTTTAATGTTGAATATATGCTTATTGACTAGTAGTTTTCAGTAGGCTGTGGCACCCTGCAAAAGATATATTTGATTTGAATGTATTTATATTTTTTGTGTATTCAATATTTATGTTAAATCACTGCTCTAACATTACAGTAACGTTTTATTTAATTCATTGTTTTAATATTATTTATTGTTTTAGATTTTAATAATTACCATTTGACTTGATTATATTTTTATGAATATTCTCCGTTGGTCTTTAACGCTTTTAATATTTGTATACATGTTTATTTTGACTTAAAAAAAATATTTTTTCACTTGCGTGTATGTTTACTAGGGCTGTCAGTCGATTAAAATAGTTAATCGCGATTAATCGCAAAGTAATCGCACATTTTTGATCTGTTCTAAATGTTCCTTAGAGGAATATTTATCAAGTTTTTAATACTCTTATCAACATATGAGTGGACAAATATGCTTTATGCTAATGTTTATTATCATTTGAACAATGACAAATATTCTCATGAATATTAAAACAAACAACCTGTGTGTGTGTGTGTGTGTGTGTGTGTGTGTGTGTGTGTGTGTGTGTGTGTGTGTGTGTGTGTGTGTGTGTGTGTGTGTGTGTGTGTGTGTGTGTGTGTGTGTGTGGTGTGTGTGTGTGTGTGTGTGTGTGTGTGTGGTGTGTGTGTGTGTGTGTGTGTGTGTGTGTGTGTGTGTGTGTGTGTGTGTGTGTGTGTGTGTGTGTGTGTGTGTGTGTGTGTGTGTGTGTGTGTGTGTGTGTGTGTGTGTGTGTGTGTGTGTGTGTGTGTGTGTGTGTGTGTGTTGTGTGTGTGTGTGTGTGTGTGTGTGTGTGTGTGTGTGTGTTGTGTGTGTGTGTGTGTGTGTTTGGCATCGTTGGAGCTATGTGCAACTCAAGGCATATGCTCGAACGGGAGCTGCCTGGACGCTGCAATCATGTTGCGCACTATCCGTGCTGAGTGTGCTGACTTCTCGTACAATGTCCCACTGTCTGGCTTCCTGCATACAGTCAAGTGCTCGGCGCAGTTGTGGCGAAATGTCGCTCCTCTGTTTTCATTTAAACAGCTCCTTCTATCCGTTAGCGCAGCTAGCTAGCACCAGATGCTAACAACAACAATACACGTAAGGTCTCTCTCGCTCGCTCGGGCCACACATACACACACCCTCCCGGTCCTCCCGATAGCCAGTCGGTGCCTGCCGGTGAGCGTGGAAGTGTGGTCTGCTGCAAGCAGGCAGCAGGAGCGGGGCTGTCAGCATCAGCTTGTAGATGGTATTTTAAACTCGATGCTCTGAAACTACGGGGCGGCCGAGGACAAAAAATACACATGCGTTAATCGCGTTAAAATAATTGGTGGCGTTAATTGTTGTTTGCGTTATTAACGCGTTAACTTGACAGCGCTAATATATATATATATTTAATTGTGGCAAATAAAAGATATCTAAATATTGGCCAATAGTCCGAAATCAAGCTGCCCTTTTGTGTTCTTCACTAAAACAATCAAACACATTTTTAAGCCAGCATATCAATGGGTTTTTAACGAGTGTAAACAGAGAACCGTTTTAGACGAGGTGAGGACAGCAGGACGGAGCAGAGTCTGAGAAGCCTCCATGTTTCCCAGATGAACCTCACAGTGTAAATCTTCTGGAGGACGCGCTCAGCTCAGTAATCTCCCGTCACTCCTGACAGACGCCGCTACGCGAAACCCTGAGTGTTAGAAAATCATGTAGAATGTGCTGAGTGCTGACCTTGTGAGGAGAAACCAGTTCCTCTCACGCTGCCGCCTGCAGGACACACACACGCACACACACACACACACACACACACGCACACACACACACACACACACACACACACACACGTCTAAATAGCTTTTTAGGCGGAGTGTATGCAGCCTACAGATGGAACTCACACACATTGGATCGGACACGCACTCAGAAAATATAACTCGGTATTAAAGAAGTCAGATCTGCAGCGACGTATCATTTTATCACGTAAAGTGTTTTATAAACAGCTTAAAACTAATTTGATGAAATAGATTTCTGTTTCATGTCTTACTTATAACCGTCCGGATGACTGTTCCTCCTGTTTACACACTTTACTGCTCCTAACCCCCTAATCCCACCAGGAGCGTCTGCGCTGCGGCTGCGGCGTTTTTAGCGATCGCGGCCACTCTAGTCAACGGGTGCTATTCCACAAGACACGCTGCGCCGCGGCTCGAAGCGTCCCAGATATAGGATGAATCCTATTTTTGGCGCAGCGCAGCGGGTCTGGTGGAATACTGCGAGGCTGCACACACGACGCTTCGCTTCCGCAACGTTTTGACACGCGCCTGGTGGGTTATGACGCAGGAGGAGGTCGCAGCGCGGCGCAGACATCTAACCCCCTGATCCGGTGGGATCAGGGGGTTAGATGTACAAAGTTCTTATATATATTTTAATCTATGTTGACGACAGAGGAATATGATGAATGTGAATAGACAAAATGAAGAATGATTAAACAAGTCAGATTTCAGGTTAAGACTCCAAGAGTTGACTTTTCTGTGTGCTCTGCAGGTTCATGGCCACCAACGACCTGATGACGGAGCTACAGAAAGATTCAATCAAACTGGACGACGACAGCGAGAGGAAGGTGGGTTCAAACCGGCTGGAACTGGTTTAGAAACGTTATCAAATGTGTTTGTAATGAGTTATTGATGGACTGATGCTTTGATTGACAGGTGGTCAGGATGATCCTCAAACTGCTGGAAGATAAGAACGGAGAGGTCCAGAATCTGGCCGTCAA